GAGTTCATTAAAAAGGTGAGGAATGAGCCCAGAGTTGAAGAAGGGGAGGAGATTTGCCAAGATAAATTGCCCCTCATCATCCAGAAGACCTGGAACAAGCACACCAAGACTCTGGGTCTTGATTTCCTCATTTGTACACTGGGAGATAGGTGTAGACTGTCTATAGAAGTCCTTCCATATTCTTAAATTTCACACACTGTGGCTCAGTTTAAGTCAACATGACAGAGTGAGGGCAGACATCTAGTTCATGTTTACTGAGTTCACACGACATATCATGTACCACTAAGTGCTTTGGATGTCACAGTGCTTAAGAAATGCTAATTATGATAGTGGCAATTTGGAAGTATTTTATTGCATTCATTCAACTAGCTGTTAAGCACCTACTATGTGCTGGACTCTGCTATGTAGTTAGAGATACAAGGGGGGCAGTCTCATGAGGGAGGGGGGCATGTTAGCAAAAAGTGACACTCACTAAGCTGTGAGAGAATGGAGCCCAGGTGGGAAGAAGGTGAGGTGATGATCAGGATGCTCAAAGGAAGGAGGAGCCAACAATACAGAGCATCCACTTCCACGGGTTTCGGATAGACATTACTTTTGCTACTTGCAGAGATGAACTTTGAGTAATTCCTTCTTTAGAAAAATTGAATTATTTTATCGTTTGAGAAAGGTGACAACTTTTACTTAGTAAGTAGAAGGGGATAGTTTTAATTTCTGAGAGTTCCTCCTGTCATTCTTTATTACAAATATAAAGCAGTTTTATCTGTGTTCACATAATAAGTAAATTAAGAGAGGGTATTACCAAAAAAGCTTCAATTTTTATAAGAAAAGCAAAAATGATCAAATAATGCTAAATACTGTTGGGGAAATTTTAAACTGAAATTAAAGAGGGCAAAGCAGACAACTTGCAATGTGTTTACTTCATTAGAATTGAGGTGAAATTATGGTTCTGTTAATAAACATGTTTTGAAAAGCATGAACTTTTCCCACCAGTATTTGTGGTCCATTTTCTATTTAAAAGAGAGAAAGAAATAGACATACCAGTAACAACCACCAGGATAACTACTGGGAGCCGGTACTGTACTAAGCTCTTTTCTAAGTATTATCTCATTTAAATTTTACAAAGCTCTATACATCTGACAGATTAGGCCCAGTTTTACAGATGTAATAACTGAGACTTGGAAAGATTAAATAAATTTTCCAAGGTCTGAGCTAGTAAGTGGTGTTTAGGGGAATGACTCAAACTTATCATCAAAAAACCTTTTGAACACTAGATTTGGAACACTAGATGCAGGAAGCACTGACTCTATGACCTTGATAAGGTCAAGCAGTTATGTATATAGTTTAACTGTAACTGTTTTGCTTTTTACATTGGTTAATGGGAAAACGGTCATAACATTTCTCTGTTATATATGTAATGTCTTCTTAAAAGCTGCATTTTAAAAAGTATATTCATTATCTCTGAAATTCTACTCGTAATTGAAAGTCTTTGCAAAGAGTTTTGGACCTGATACAAAAACAAGGGAGGACACCCCCTCCCAATCAGAATTATCTTTTGAGGGTGGGCCTCTTGTAGTACATGCTTTCTCCACTAGGTAAGTGTTTTAGGAAATCATAGGCATCAGTGTGCCAGCTAGTGTTGTTGTAAGAGGTTGTGTTTGGCTTCAGTGAATTTTTTTTTTTTTGAGATTCTTTTAACGTGTTTGCCCATTTCACAATGGATGACTTACGAGGACACCTGCACATATCACACTAATTGTTCAGCAGTTTTTGACCCAAAATGGCATGCCCTCCATGCCCTCCATGCCCTATTCAACCAGTCTTACCCTGAGTGACTTTTTTTTTGTTTCCCCAGATGAAAAAATCCTCAAAGGGAAATGTTTTGCTAATGTGGAAGAGTGAAACAAAAATGACAGAAGCACTAAAAGGCATCCAAATTGACGAGTTCAAAATTGTTCTGAACAGTGGAAAAAGCGTCTTGATAGCTCCATTCATTGCAATAACCAGAGAGTACTTTGGAGGTGACTGAAGTTTAAATATGTAAGAATAAATACACATTTTAAAAATAAATACCTTCTGTTTTTTGGGGTGCCTCTCTTCATGTCTCAAACGGTTCTTTTGTGTGATTTGGTACTCCATACAAAATTCTTCCTAATGATTTCAAGTTTCAAAGGATTTAAAAGTAGTGTGACTAGGTACATCATGATGTGAGGAATATAATCTTTAGTTGCAAGTATTACAGAGATGATAGGAACAGCAAACCCTCTTCCTGAAGAAGTATCTGAGAGAATTACTGTCCCCTACCCCGAGGACAGTCTGTTACATACAAACTAATATATTGATTGCACATTTTTGGTAGACTTTGTGGACAAGTAGAGTTTGCTTTCTTGTGCAACAAAATTAATTCAATGAAAAATTAAAGAAAATGAATTAGTTAATGTGAAACTGTATCTAAAGTTATGTCTTTCTCCTTGAGAACCTGGGAGAGTTTTCTTTTTCATAACCAAAAAAAAGTCCCTCACTAGGACTTTGCATAGGGGGCTCCACTTGCCATTTTCTTTCTTGACCATCTGTCTTTTCTTTTAAAAAAAAATCCAGATTAAATGCTTTTGTATCCATATCTCCATAAAATCTCCTCCAACAGAACTGAGAGGAAGCCTTCAGAAAAATAATTAGAACTCATGACTATTATTTAAATGTTGGATATCTGTATCAAGGCAGCCAAGAAGAATTTGAAGATGGTGTGTGTTAATATTATTTAGGCCCAGGGAACTTAAGAATTAAAAAAAATAGAAATGCAATTTTTAAAATGGGAGAAAAAAGAAAGGTGTTTTTACAGGAAGTTGAGTTTTGAACTATTTTCTATCACTGACAGAGGCTCATGGTGTTTATCAGTGCAATTCAAGAATTTGAGATTGAGATTGCAGATGCAATCATCTGACTGAAAATTCCTAAGAATTTTTGTGAGGGTTTCAGCGTCCCTGAATTCCTTCTGAGTCACGTTTGATAAATAAAAGTTTTGAATATGAGAAAATATACAGTTTTCAGGAATTAATGAAGTAAGTACATAATCTGCTTTGTTGACTCTCTACTGTGCTATATGGTTTATTTTGCATTGTCAAAGACAACTGGAATCCTGCTAGATCACTCAGAAGCAGTTTCTCTGAAAGACTATGAAATCTGAAAATTCAATATTAGCGCAATCACTAAAAACACATTGTTGAGAAAAAAGTAATGAGAACAGATATTTGGAACAATTTTAAAAATAAATTCTGGTTTACGTACATAACATTTTAATCCTATGACCTAAATCACATTTCAGCGTTAATTTCCAAAGCCAAATATAGACTTTGTAGATCTATTACTTGAAAGCTCTTTAGCAACTGTTGAAGGCAAGTCTGTACTTTCTAAGAATATGAATTTACAAGTAAAATGAAGTGGACTATCAAGCTTTAAAAAAAATTGGACAGTATATGCAAATAATCTGGAAAATTCTGATGCCTTGGGCCAGGAATTCCTTTGTACTAAATTTCAGCAGAGGAGACAGCAATGGGAAGGCTGGAAGAAGAGACATTTTCCTTGCAGAGATAACTTGAGTCTGACTTACAGGATTAATTAAAATGTACTAACATTTAAAAAATACTATTTTCATACTCTGAGTGAAATTTAGACTAAATGCTTGGTACGTAGTTTAGACTGTAACTTGGGTATCTGTCTACTAATAACTTGAAACCACAGCTGAAGTTTATTTTACATTGGACTTAAAAGTGTTGTTATTAATAATGACCAATCATTACCATTTGAGCTAAATTGAATTCTGTGACTAGAAGTTAAAAGAATGCTATTCCTCATCAGAAACCTCTGTGTGTAAATGCCTTACAGTCCTTGGGAAATTGTTCTGGCTCTACTATGTACATTAAAGAAACAGCCGAGTCAGCAACTCGCAGAGTGAAATTTATGATTCTGTAATTTCTTTCCACAGTGTAACAGTGAAAAAAATAAATAAAGCTGTTGGAAGCAAATAAAACCAAAAGAGATGTGTCTAAAACAGCTAGACACAGACAGATTCAGAATTCTATTTTGGCAGTCATAATACGCACAGGAAAACACTTCCAGACAGATTCACACTATCATTTGACCTTCACAAGTCATACTTTTCAACAGTGAATGCAATTTTCTGAGACCACATTTTTGACCTTGAAGATGTAACTTGGTATTTTATGTCTTTTAGCAAACTTATAATGACTCTGGTCCCCTCCCAAATGAGTTTATCTAAAATGAACATCATCATGTGTTTAAACTGTTAAATTCTATGATTCTTACTTTAGTTATTCAGCATGTAAGGAAAAGGAGAGGAACTGCAGCCGTGAGCGCTATCTTTCCTTATTGCATAAGTCTTTCCTAACGCAGGCTGCCCTTATCCGGAGCTGGGACCTAGGAAATAGCTGCATTGTGCTGCAGCCTTCACAGCTCTGGGGCTGAGGATTCAGCTGAGTTGAACAGAAACAGGCAGGGCGATGTGCTGGTCCATAGGAACCAGAGATTTACTGAGGGAGGTTACCATGGGGTAAGCTGCTTTTCCCTGGACCATAGTTCCATGAATGTTCATTGTAGTTACATTGTTCCTCCCAATGAATAAACAGTTACTCTGGTGACCTTACCTCTGAAGTTTTGCTTCCCATGTCTTCCCTCTGCCTTGAATAGAAATTAACTCTATGCCCTCCATTTTTCTTGAAGGTAGCAACTGCACTAAAAAGCACTGACCGGTTTACATCAACTCATTGCAGTTGGTTGTTCTCAACACATTTAACTTTGTCCCAAGTTCTTAATTCTCCTGTCATGCAATAAAATTCAAAAGCCAGGAAGCATGTTCACCAATTAGCAGAAAGAGAAAGAAAAAGTCAGTGCTGCAGAAATAAAATTAAGAAACATCAGTTCAGCCTGGCAACTCCAAGGAACTTACAATGAATTTGACTTTCATCCGAGAGCCTGCCTCTCCTTACCTTGGATGTGGATAACGCTGTCATGACCCAGAGGATAGTTTTCTGAGTGGTGATCAGCCCAGCAGATTGAGATCAGCACCAGAAGAAGTAGACTCTTCATCTTTATAGCCCAGGGAATCTTCTCCACTGCGAAAGCATCACACACAGAGAGGCTAATGAGATGGGGAACCCTTTGGAGTGTTGCACTGCACAACTTATTGCCGCCTTATCATTGCAGAGTGGGTCTGTAAAAATATTTAACCCAATCTGTTCAGAAAGTTACTGTGACTGTCTCTGAGAGCTGAAGCGGGCGGCTTTGAGCAATTCCAGTCAGAGTGCAAACAGTGTTTAACTCTATCTTTGCAGAATTGTAAACCTAGAGACTTAAAACACTGTAGTTGTGATACAGAGAGTTACAGCAAGTAACAAAGAGAGGCAGCAAGGACATAAACAGACCCTTAAAACATTTTCAGCCTCTGACTCTGGAGCGTAAGTTACTAAAACAGCAGTGTGCTATATCTACATATGAATAGGCATCACTCCATCTAATTAGGAACTGAATCCAAAATCAGGGCACATAAAGAATATTTGTGCGAAACTTGACATCATCATTCATTTTACATGCGGCTTCCTCAGCAGATTAGATTTGCTTGTTCTAAATAGGAAAGAGGACACAGAAAAAGTGCACAGTGAGGCAGAAGCAGCTCATTTGTTACAGATTCACTTACCATCTTAATACTGCCTGGGTCTGTGGGAAATGTGGAAAATTATCAACAAACTGGGCTGGGCTTGTGCAGCCACCACTGCAGTCACCCTGATTGATTTTCCATTCATTTCCACCTCAAATGCTGACGCACCCACTCAGAGCGCCAGGTAGGGTCTCTGCAGTCAGCAGAGCCATGGTTGCAGGGGACAGGGACATCCCTGCCAGCCTCACAGAGTAATTAGCCAAATTAAGAGCTGAACTGACAGGGAGGCAGGTCCCAAGTCACAGAGCAGAGTCACTGCTCACTTGTTCCCCACAGAAAGACCAACTTGATAAAAGGGGGCACAACCTCCTAGCCACCATGTGTACCCTGGGAAGGACCAAAAGTAATCCTCAGTGATACCAACCTCATGCCCTCTGCGGTATCTGCCAGGCAAGAAAGTCAGCAAGGCTCCTGTTTCCATGCGAAAACGCAGGCACACACTGACAAGGACTTTTTCTCTGGTGCATGTGGCCGCCTTAACAATATTGGCTATTTTTAAAACTGAAATTGCACAGTACTGGTTTCTCACACTAATTTGTTTTTTCCAAGAAAGCCTGACTCCCTGGAATACTTATTAAACTTGGAGGCCCTCGCAGGCCGGCTTCACTTCAGAGCCTGCTCACTAAGATCCAACGCTCCCAGCATCCCCTGGGACTGGCAAATCTCTGCCCTTGGCCCCCTCAAAATCAGCACTGCTCTGATGCTGAGGAGTTCAGGCTCTCCTGTTTGCTTGAAACCTTTTCTTTTTCTTCATGATGTCATAGAAAAAAGATGATGGATTGGCAAGGAAATTGTGAAACTGACTTGCAAGGGAAACTAAGAATGTTACCTTCAAAATTATGCCTGCCGTAACTATCTTGTATTCAGATGTTTACCTGCTTGTTCTTCTAAGGACTTTTTTGAAATGATTATTTTTTTGTAGTCATAGACTTTTGTCCATAAGATGACAGTGAACAAATATTACCTATTTCCAGCCCAGAACTGTGATTTGGGTGAACAACTATATGAAGGTGACCTTTTGGAATTTGGAATAGAACGAACTAATTATACACACAAACATCAAACAACAGGCAAACACACCAGAATTGTGAGGTGCTCTCTGCCTGTCGCAGGACTCGGGGGGGGGGATGTGGGGGGGCGCTGTGGAGGAGAAGGTATGAAGATAGCAGGTAATCCCAACAGACCAAGAAAGGAACATTCTAGTAAGGGGACACAATGGGCAAAGGCAGAGAATTTGCTACATTAGTTTTCACATTAGTGTGGTCATAGTATGACTATAGTATGACTATAGGGAGTTGTGTCCACACATACACACACACAAGCACACAGGTTAGAGTTGTGTATCCCACCCCTGAAATCACCTTGAATTTCATTGACTTTTTACCTAAAATACATTACTCACAAGCCGGGCTCGGTGGCTCAGCCTGTAATCCCGTGCCTTTGGGAGGCTGAGGTGAGTGGATTGCCTGAGCCCGCAGGTTCGATACCCACCTGGGCAGCGAGACCTCATCTCTACAATAAATCAAAAAATTGGCTGGGCGTGGTAGCGCATGTCTGTAATTCCGGCTACTTGGAAGGCTGAGGCGGAAGGATCGCCGGAGCCCAGCAGGTCGAGGCTGCAGTGGCCGGGAGCGGCCACTGTACTCCAGTCTGGGTGACAGAGTGAGACTCCAACTCAAAAAAAAAAAAAAAAAAAACCAAACAAATACATTACTCACATGTCTATATAGCTCTTTAATTCCACACCATACCATAGTATTTAAAATTATATCACTAAAGGTTCACTCTGATGAATTAAGGAATTGACTGTCCAACAATCCAATTTTAAAATGCAAACATCCTGTGTGTGGTGGGGTAGGATACATAATAATAACAACAATTTCTGTTATTTGAATGCCTACTATCTGCCAAGGCTTACGCTAAGCAAGACACAATGAGTCACACAATGGCTCGAGCAGTCTCCATGACAGATTTCCATTTCCCAGGAGACAGTTACTGTGCTGAAGGTCACTCAATGAGTAGCCACATTTGAATTTGCTTTCAAGCAAATTTACTTTGTTGTTTGTTGTGTTATCTTTTTTATTCATGCTCCTTAACTTAAAATGACTGTGATCTTAAAACCTTGACTCATGTTATATGTGAATATAAACATCTTTTCCAAGGCTCACATATGAGAAGGCAGTTGAATGGTACTTTTCTTAACATGATTTGCACTGCCTTGTTTATTTTTTTAAATTAAATGTTTTTATTTTTATGAATTCAAGGGGTACATTCACAGGTTTGTTACACGGATATACTGTGCGCTGGTGGGATTTGGGCATCTAGTGTACCCATCATTCAAACGGGGAACACTGTATCCAACAGGCAACCCCTCAGCCATCATCCACTTCCTCCTTCCTCACTTTTGAAGTCCCCAGTGCCTGTCAGACCCTCTGTGTGTCCATATATACCTGCCGGTGAGCTCCCACTTAATGTGATAACATATGGTGTTTGGGTTTCTGTTTCTGAGCCTGTTCACTTAGGATAATGGCCTCCAGCTCCATCCATGTTGCTGCAGAGGACATGATTTTATTCGTTTTTATAGCCCTGCCCCCATGAACCCTGCCTCAGTGGCTCACATGTGCACTGACATCTACAGGTATACACATACACACAAAGATACACACATACCTACTTTGAAAAGCCTGGTCTGTCATACTCTGCAGGACCTCGTGATGAGAATGGAGGCTCGGGACAGCATAGTCTCTGAGCTGCCCACATTGCCATCAATGCAACAAGGGCAGGAGGGGGTGAAAACAACTCTCTCACTGGCAGATGCAAAACTGGAAAAGCAAACTTTAGTAACACAACCTTCAAGCAACACGATGAGGGATACATAGTGCTGCACACCAGACTGAGGCTGTGTCACGTCTGTATGCTGGTCCCCAGGGAAGGGCACTCCTTGGATGGGCAAGTGGTTGGGGGCAAATGAGTCTACATTTTGCTTATTGGCATTCTGTCATCATGTTTCCTCTGAATGTCCAAGTATGTGAGGCAAAACTTTTATGTTTCTGATATGAGAAAAGTTTAGGCAATCTGAGGACTTCTATTCAGCCAGCCATTGCCAACCCAGAATTAGCACTGCCGGTTCATCTGTGGTTCACACACAGACCATCTCTTGTCATGGCAGCCAAGCCTTGCTGTCGTGACACTTCTAGACTAAAAGTCAATGTTCCTAGTCAAAGGTAGGTAAGAGGAATGCCATTTTACAGACTCTCTAATGATTGCTAAACCATGACTTGGAAGTTATATTCCCTCTCCAATGTAAAAGCTCAATAGTTTGAGAGAATTGGAGATACACTCATGCCAACAGTCTAATACCAAAGTGGCCAAATTGCTGTTTCTTAAGCACCAACTGCATTAACATTATTGTACTGGGTAGGTAGGAAATAAAACCAAGCAGAAGACTGCTGACTCTACATAAAATATGATAACTCTACATATCACCTGAACCATGATCACACGCCAGGCATGTCCCTGGAGTTTCTTCCAGGTAGCTGCTATTTCTCAGAAACATTTAACTGAGATTGTGTTGTTAGGCGCATCTTTTAGTTCTGGAAGTGGAGTCTTAGAGAGTGGGGAGGTGCCCACGTATGCAGGAAGAGCTGGGGTCTGGCAGAGTGACCCTAAGTACTGCTCTCTCAGCCACCACTGGGGTGTTCTGCCTGGCCTTGCTGTGCCCCAGCTAGTCTCACAGCTATCTAAGTTCTCTCTCAGGCTGGAATGCCATCCTCTTCCCTCTCACAAGGTCAGGGTTCAGCACGTGCCACATTCGCCTCTAAGGTCTGATATTCTCACCACATCCTGGTGTCAGAGCTGTGTGCTGAGACAGAACAGATGGGAAGCAGGGACTTCAAGAAAACAGTGAGAAGTACTAAAAGAGCTAGGACAGAAGGGACATTTCTCACTGCTTAGAAGTTTACAGGTACAGTATGTTTATCGCAGCATTGTTCACAATAGCAAGAACCTGGAATCAACCATACTGTCCATCAAAAGAAGACTGGATTAAAAAAATGTGGTACATATACACGATGGAATACTATGCAGCCATAAAAAAGAACAAAATCATGAACTTCGCAGCAATCTGGATGGAACTAGAGTCAATAATATTGAGTGACTTCTCACAGAAACAAAGATCTGAGAATCACATGTTTTCACTCATATAGCGGACCTTGAACATCCATGTAATACTATAAGAAAAGGACTGACAGTGGTGGGAAACTATGGAGGGGAAGGGAGGTGGGATTAATGGTAGTCAATATCTGTCTGGGGACAGGGAGACACCCCTTATCAACAAGGGTGCCTGAAACATATTTGTATGCCTAACCCTTAACTGTACCCCACAATATCAAAATAAAA